GCTGTTGGCGCCGATGACGAGCGGCACGTGGACGTAGTCGCCGCGCGCCACCTGCTGCGACGTCTTGCCCGCGATGATGTCGCCGTCGATGGCCAGCCCCCACGACGTGAAGCCCGTGCTGTTGACGGCCGCGTTGAGCGTCGCGTAGTCGAGCGTGCGCAGGCACGTCAGCGGCGCCGTTGCGTTGCTGCACGGCGTGCTGCTGACGAACGACTGGTACTTGGCGTTGTTGTCCGACGACGTGTTGAGCGGGCCGTAGTAGATGGGCCCGCCGGACTGTGCAATTGCGCCGCGGAAGAGCGAGTCGTCGCGGCCATTGTAGGCGACGAGGTGCGCGCCGACGCTGGCGCCACCCGCCGACTCGCCGAAGATGGTGACTTTGCTGGCGTCGCCTGCAAGGGGGATGCGTGGTGAGCCAGTGTCTTGATATCAGGGGGTCGTCAGGGGGTCAGAAGATGACATACCTCCAAAGCCAGCAATGTTCTCCTGGACCCAATGCAGGGCGAGGCGCTGGTCACGCAGACCAATGTTGGTCTGGCCCGACTCCTGAACCTCCTCGCCGCTCAGGAAGCCCCAGGCCGACAGGCGGTAGTTGGTCGAGACGCCGATGAAGGGCTTGCCAATGTCGGCCGCGTGCTGCACGATGAACGACAGGTTGTAGCGCTGGTCGACGCCGCCGCCCTGACTGAAGCCGCCGCCGTGGATCCAAAAGGCGACGGGCAGCGACGCGTTCTCGTAGCCCGACGGCCGCACCACGTTGAGGTACAGGCAGTCTTCGCTGACGGTGTAGGGGAACTGGTCGGACTGCGGTTGGCAAATGACGAATTAGCTTTCCTTCTCCCCAATCAAAGTGGTTGGTTCCTGGACGCCCAGCGCCCAGCACCGCGGCTCTGATATAAGCTCACAAGCTTAATCGAATCTTGGTTCAACGTACCCCGTATCCGACGCACTCGTTCGAGTACTCGGTGGCCGTCCGCGGCTCGCTCCACGAGCTGTTCAGTGACTTGGGCACGCGGAAGCGCAAGTCTCCCACAGGCGGCTGCGCATACGGCAGGCCCAGGAAGAAGTCCTGGTTGTACTGCGCCGAGTGGACGCCCACGTATGTGCCGTTCTTAGTCGCGGCAGTGGGCGCATCGGCTCTGCGCGTCGGCACAGCAAAAGCTTGCTGGACCGCGAGCGCAAGCGCACCGTACTTGGACCACATGGTAATGACGAGGAGGAAGAAGACGACTGCGAGCAACAGCTGTCTGCTGCGATTGGTCCCTGGCTGCTGCTGCGGCGCGCCGTTTTGCCAGAATCCTCTGGATGCTGCTGTTTTGGCGTCGATTGCGCCCAGCCTGCTTTTATACGCCTGGCCGTGGCCGTCAGCTTTCTCCTCTTCCTGCCGCTTCTCCATGACGCGTGAGAGCGCGCGACCCAGCGCGGGAAGGCAGGGCAAATGGGTCAATGGCGCCCCGGATGTCTTCAGCCAGAGAGCCGTCGGGCCAAGTCGCCCTGTCAGGTGGACAGCAGCTTGGCGGCGGTGGGCGCGGGCCAGGGACTCGAAAGGGGGATGCTTAGCCAGGCAGAATGCGGTGCTCGGCGAGTGGGTGCGTCAGCGGTCGGCGAGTCAAGCAGCGTCAATGATGGGAGGTGTCGTTGTTTGGGCGCGATTCTGCAGCGCTGCGTCAACGCATGGGCTCGACGCATGCACCCCGGACTGCACCAAGCGAGGCCCGGTCTTCCCCGCAATTATGTGCCTATCCAAACGGCACGTCGCTCTCTTCAACCTCTTTTCTTCCTGCTGTTGCTGCTGCTGGATGATAATAGCCGGCACAGGTCCCTGACCCCGGGGGCGCTCTCAATTGCCGACCGGCACTTTTCATCAGCGACATCACCACTTCTCCACCACGCACGTCTCCCACTTTCCTCTTTGCTCACACTGCATGGCTTGTCTCCTTGCGCGGCCTAATTCCCGGCTCCAGGGCGAAATGCCTCCACTTTCTCGTTGTCGCCTGGTGCGCCGCCCCGGCTGATAAGGCCCCATTTTTGCACAGGATCTCGGTACTTTCTACACACTCTAACCGCCGTGCTGGCACTTTCGCCCCGTGGGGTAAGGTCCTGCGGTCAGGAAAATACCCACGCGCGGCCGTGCGCCTCGGCCATTGTTGCCTTTTCGCGCGGAGCATGCCGTCTTCTTTGCTCCGGTCCCCGAGCATGACGTGCAAGTGGTCTCCTGCCAGAGGCAAAGGAGCAGGAGACGTCAGACTGGATCATGGTGAGGTTGTATCTTTTGTTATCGATGTATCTGTGATAGCTGTGGACTGCAGGCGTCGAAATGCTGCGGACAAGGCTGACGGAGATATGGTATCTTCCACGACTCGTGCTGGCCGAAGTACCTCCCCACCCCAGGTCCCTGTGTCGGCTCTCGGGGCTTTACCAGGCAAGCCTGGAATGATTCCAGGTCCCTTGCAAGTTCCGTCTGCGTGACGACCGAGACACGACCATATCTCTCAAAACCCTTATCCTTCAACCCAGTTTGATCAACACCATTCCGTCTGATTGACTCGCACCGGCTATGTCCAGCCTTGCCAGGTCTCTATATAATTCAAGAAGACGCCCTCTCGGTCTCTTTGTCGTTTTGAAATGGTCTTCCTCACATCCATCACCGCGTAACTTCAGCCTCACCGCACCTCATCCATCCTGGCCCCTTGCCAAGCACCCGTCACGCCACGGGCAACCCACATACTCCCATCTCTCGCCTCCTGTCACCCCAGAATGCTCCTCATCGCCGTCGCTGTGTTTTTACTACCGAAGCAGCTCGGGTCATTGTTGTCTTGCACGCAGGCAAGACCCCACATTGCCCGTCCACATTCCCACACGTTGCACTTCTGCACCTTTGCATCATTTTCTTCATCACTACCACCAACCCCATCTTTTCCGGCTTTTGCAGCCTCTTCTCCGCGTCGTTGAAAGCCGACGACGGACGAACAACGCTCGCTCGAGTCGGCCAAGCTGCGCCCAGTCCAGCTCGCTGCAGGCCAAGCCGACACGGCACCGACTGACGCTGCTGACGATGATCGCAATCATAGCGGCTGAAAGTGGCGAGCTGGCTTTCAGTGAGGTCATACAGAGCCGCAAGATGGCAGTACGTTTAAAGAAGCGTGACTGCCCTTTTTCTTCCCGTCAAATCCAAACTCAGCTATCCACACAGGATGCTCCAGCAGTGCATCATCCACTGTACGACATTAACACATGTAATGCGTACTCAGGTATTTACCCCACCAGACGCTCGCTTTGCGCTTCGAGACGCCTCTTGGCTCTCGTATTGTCGCCGTATTCTCTGCGGACGGATGCACCGCAGGTCGGGTTACCGTTTTGGGTCGGCGTCCGCGCGCCGGGTGCCTGAACACGGACGGCACATCTATTGTGGCGGCTAAATTTGCGGCTTTAGGACATCAAGGTAAGTGTGAGTGTGAGGGTTGGAGATGCGGTTGCGAGGTGCGAAGTGTATGTCGCAGAAGGCTCGAAGGCGGGCGGACTAGACAAATTGCGCCGGTGGGTTTGATTGCGCTCTCTTTTTCCCTGCTCTGCTTCTTTCTGCTTCTTCCAGTTTGTTTCTTTCCTTTGAGAGTGGTGTCCGTTGTGCATCAGCGCCACACTCACCGGCTGGCAGGTGAACACCTGCAGCCTCCTTGTCTCGCGAACACATCAAACGTCCATTTCCTTCTGTTAGAAATCTTTTTGGGTTCAGAGCATGCAATAGAAGCATCGGGGCTCTGCAAAGATCCATCAGGTGTTGTACATCCTATCCTGTCGCCCAACGCATCTTTACATCATTGCCTTATTTGAGTACGGTTCTCAGGCTTTGCCGCAGTGTTCATACGCTCTTTTCAGTTCCGTCACTTCTCTTTGAGTCTCATCAGGGCCGTCAAACGCCGTGGGGTCGACTGCAAAAGCTCAAGTCAAGCAACTTGCGTCCCCACTCTTTCGCGATTCCCTCCGTCATTTCCACCCCCTTCAGACCCCACTTCAGTCCAAGTCTCGCTACACTGGCAATCCTTGACAGCAGGTCCTTCTTATGCTACTGCTCGATTGCTACCAACCCCCATAACCACTCATCTCGGCCCCAAAATCGCGTCGCATCATCCCCACCCCCTGAATCGTTCCCCCTTTCTGCCTGAACATAATCCAATCCACCCCTCGCAGTTCCATCATCAAGCGGGGTTGGTGTAGTTGGTAATCACGTCAGTCTAACAGTAGCGGTTCTGAGCGATCAGGAGCGTCTGAAGAGCACTGAAGGTCGCGAGTTCAAGTCTCGCATCCCGTATCCTTTTGCCCCCTGATTCTCCACCCGCCCACGCATCGTCCACCCGTGTACGTCGGCCAGGGGACAAATTTTTCGCAGCTTTTTATGATGGGGCGCGCACGGACCGGTAGATGCCAGAATCTTTTGGTTGCCGTGTCTGGTTAGCTTGTAAGGGGTGCGTTGCTGTTTTGGGTGGGAGGAAGGCGTTTGGGATGCTTGCGTTGCGTCCTTTTGGTCTTGAGAGCAGTTTTGGTGGCTTTCTGAGCTGCGCTGCGTTGTGGCTTTGTTGGTGGATGTGTGGTGTTTGAGTGGCGCAGTGTTTTCTCCTCAACGTCACTTTGGCAGAACTTCGCCGCGGTCCATTCTCCAGGTGGAGAGTCCGATTTGCTAATGTCTTTTGCAGTGAGGGTCTCCGTTCTTGTTGGCTTTGGATGTCGTCCAGCTGTTCTGTTGGTTGGGACAGGCTCGCGGCCCGAATGTCGTTCTCAACCTGTCAAGCTCCCGCCGAGCATACCGATCCCAGGATCCGAGGACCTGTCGAAAGAAAGATTGAAGCAAACGAGTTTCAAGACGTGTTCAAGAACCAAAAAGGAAGAGACGAAGTACGGAGTAGAACATAACCCTCATCCCACCGCACCAAAACGGCCCGACAACCACCACCTTATTCCCGTCCCCATTCCCAACAGCAGAGCAGCAAAACAGCAAAAGACCATGGTCGATACCAGGATCGAACTGGTGACCTTGGGATCGCTCACCTCAGCGAGGTGATCATAGCACAATCTATGAGACCTATAGGGAATTCGTTAGAGACGGGCTCTTGGAGAAATTTTCGTTTGGCGCAGAGAAACATACCCACGTCATGACCAACTAGACCAATCGACCAGCGAAAAGTATGACAGGGATAATGGGGTTAATGGTACTTGATGTTGAGAGCGACATGGGGGATGCAGAGGATGTGGCCGCTGTGAAGAGCAGATGCGTGTGAAGGGTCGGCCAGGACTTCAAAAATTTTCGGCGTGCTCGCCCGGATGACCTCGCGCGCAATTGCTGGCTGTTTTCGACGCGCTTCCACAAGCGGCGTCGATTCATCCTTCTACTCCTTCATCTCGAAGTCTCCTGGCCAACTTGGCAATCGACCCCTCGCAGCACCCCCCTCGACACCCCCTTACCCCACCCCCATCACCCCGTTCAGCTAGACGGCGCTTCCCGCCCACCCAGCCTCAATACAACCGATCCCTGCCCGCGCACATCCCTGCTGCTGCCAACGTTGCCGGACCGGAGCACTCTCCCCGCTACACGGACAACTCACGACTCTACTACGTGCCAAACACTCGCGCTGGTTGCACATGCAGCTGCGAGACTCGGCTGCGTCGATTGGCTTTGATGCAAAACGATGATGGCCCCTATAATGAGTTGGATTGGTGCTGAGGTGCAGTGTTTACTGCAGAGACAGAGAGAGATGCCTTTGGGCTTGAGCCTGGAACGAAGTGTTTGGGAGAGAAAAGTATTGAGCGCGTTGGCGCTGGATGGCGGAGCGATCATGTTTGCTGTGAAGATTCGAGGTCGTCTGTCTCAGCAGGACGAAAAGCGCAAACAGCCGTTTGACTTTACTGTGACTGAAAACTGCAACCAAGTCTACCACCAGGTATACAACTCAATCCGCCTGACCCAGCAGTTCGGGGTGCCGCGAGAAAGGCGCCAACCTCCACACTCAAACGCCCTCGGCTCTGCCTGATGTCTACCTACCGAGTCCCTCTCAACGCTCAACGCGGACCAGCGATGCGACATGTCCCTTCTCAGACCCTCTTGGCGCCCTCCATCGAGATCAGCGCCACCCCGTATCGCAGTGGCCTGGCGCCGAGAAGCGGAGACGAAGCAGGACCACTACACCCTCACCAACTCACCCACGCACTTGAACCTCAGGCCTCTCCTCCCGTCATGAGCGTTGCCGAGGCGGCGCCCACGGCCGCCGGCGAGCTGCCCGGCTGCTGCCGATGCGTCTTGGCCAAGGCGACGCCGGATCGGACGATGAGTTGGCATGGAAACGCGGTTCGGTATGTACCGAGAGTCTTTCACGCGGAAGATGGGGGACTGAGAGGTGGATGGGCTGAGTGAAGGTAGTAAGGTGAGCGTACGCTGGCTTGGCTGGTGATGTCGTGGAGAGTCAGCGGGAGGGGAGGGGAGAGGAGAGGAGAGGACATGGAGACGTCTGGTGCAGCGCTGCAGAAGGGAGCGGGGTTGGAAAGGTGAGTAAAACGTGATTATGGCGGAAACAAACGATTACGCCGAGTGAAGAAAGAGGAGGCTGGGAGAGAATAGGATGGCGCAAAAAAGCTACGGAGGAGGAGGCAGTGCAGCGCAGCAGCAATATGTAGCTGTTGGGCTTCTTTTGAATGCCGGCGAGCCGGCCGTCAGCGGAAGACCGTACGATAGAGTAAGGCGGGAAAGGCAGATGTGCAATCCGTTTCCTTCACGCCGTCATCATTGAGATCAGGTATCTCATGTACTCACCCACGCAACCCCCTCACCATCCGTCTAGCGGAAAACCACCACAGCAACGGAAAAGCGACCCGGAAAACGCGCATCAACGCGGCCAAACTCACAACCACCTTGGCAGCAGCGGCGGCGGCGGCGGCGAACACGTCGCGCTGCCACTCCAAGCAAAAAGGAAAGCGAACAGCCGTCTCAGCTACAGCCCACGGCCCCACTCACCACAGTCAAGGCTGTCTGTGTCTCCGCCGCCAAGCTGGGCAGGCAGGCAAGCGAGCGAGCGGGGCGGAGCGGCTACCTGCCTTACCGATGGGCTCGTCGGGCGTCTATGTGTGGGTTGGGCGGCGAGACAGGCAAGGCATGGCATGTATGTATTTATGTACCTGAGAGTTTGTCGATGGCGTGCCCAGTCTAGACCTTGGGTGAGTATAGGTACGGGCCTTGGCTGGCTGGCTGTGTCTCTTCGTCGTCCCTTACTCTCCAGCAGCGGCGGTGGCGGCGGACGACGAATTGGGAAACGAATGCAGGTCGTGTGTGTGTGTGTATGTGCAGTACTGCCAAGAGCGCACGCTTCTCTGCCTCTGCGTTTGATCCGTCGCTGTAGATGTATGGATGGATAAATGGCATCCATGCTGCTGGATGGACGGCGGGCTGCAACACACTTCCAGCGACAGCGAGCAACAACAGCGCGAACAAGAAGCAGAAAATAAGGAATCCGCTGACACAAGCCGCAGTGCTTCAGCATCAGATGGAGTAAACAGAGAGGGAGGGGCATGAAACAAGTGACACGACATAGCAGTACGGAAGAACGCCATCCACCGACAACGACACGTGTGGCGGCAGCAGCGCATGGTAGGACGCCATCCCGCACCTCCCATTCTTTTTCTGTTGAGGAAGGGATGGGGTCAAGAAGAGGAAGGAGGGGCGTTGCGGTGGTTTTGTCGTCGTTGATTCATTTGACGGTTGATGCTGCGGGCCAGACACGCGCCGAGCTATCAAGGTGCACAGAGCAAACAGTACATCCGATGCATAGGCGCGCGTGCGCGCGTGGGTGGCTAAGCAGACTATCTATTCCTAGACGACGTAGCGCGCCAGCCACCTGGGCGGGGACGCCGATAAGGGAACATGGGAGAGCCACTCGGCGAGCGGTCGAGCAAGCAGCAAGGGATGCGTACGTACGCATGTATGTATGTGTGGATAGACGCGCGTGGGCGGGGCCGCAGAGAGAGGAGTGGAGGACGGAGGAGAGGAGAGGAGAGGAGTGGAGGAGCGTTTTCTTGGAACGTTAGCGCTGCCTACTGACAGCGAGAGCCGACCGGACGGACTAAACCTGCCAGCCAGTCAGTTGGCTAGGTATGCATGTATGTGTGTAGGTGGAGTGCGACGAGGGTGCCTGGCTGGCTGTGTACATGCAAGTGATAAGCTACATACACACCTGCCCGCGTTGCTCGCTTGAACTCACTTGTGCGACGCGACGGGACGCGCGGCGATACCACTATCAGCTGTAGCAGCAGTTTGGAATCAGTGCTAATGGGGGAGATTGCAAGAGATAGCGACGACCTGGCGTCAGCAGTGGCATCATCCACAAGGCATCACATTCCACCTAGCCAATCGACAAACACCAATGGCAAAAACGTGACAATTTTCTCGATTTCTTCTTCGCAACCAGTATCCATCTGTACTCGTAGTAGTAGTACTGTAGTAGTATATGCCCTCTCTTCTCCGCATCCCTGAACCGATAGATCGCATCGCAGCATCATCATCTATGATAAACGCGACAGCAGCAGCACGCATCGATTCGTCCAAACAAGCAAGCGCGCAGAAGTCGACGTGGTGTCGAAGAGACGACGGAGAATCGCCTCACGACATCGATCGACAACGCGACGACCAGCCGCAGACACCCGAACCAGCGTCCGCAGCCGTACAGTCGTGGAAAACAAGGAGACTCGTTAGCCAGACGTGAAGGAAAAACAGCAGGAACGCCGCCAGCAACCAACCGACCGACCTATTCCGTCCCAACCAAACCACTGTGACCGACGAGGTCGGCCGACCAAAACACCAGCAGCGCCGTGAACCAAGTGGACAAAAAAACAGTATGGAACGCCAGAGACGGAAAATCCCAAAGGAATTCGGCAGTGTCTGTCGTATCCGACAACAACGCCGATCCGTACATGTCGCAGCAATGCAAGCCCATGCATTTTCCCTGCCCCAAAGGCTGCTTCGCCTCCATTCATGCATGACGTTGACAAGAGAGAGAATGTGTGTGTATATGCGTGTAGACTGGGTCCTAGGACCCGAATCAACAACAGCAGCAACAACAGACCAGCTTTTGAGTCATCAGCTGAACGCCTGGCTTGTGTGGGGTGCAATGACGGGGAAAAGGGAAGAAAGAAGCGGGAAAGAAGTAGAAGAAAGACGCGGAAAAAAATCTTTTGGTTGTTCCTCGTTGCCCATTGTGTATGCGTGTCGAGTGGTCGGTCCGCTTCCCACAAGGGATAGATAAACAATAATACGAGAGACGAGACAATAGTCAAGCCAAGGAAGAAAACGGGCGACCGTGGAGTAGCGATCGTAAGCGCCTAGGCGGTCGAGCTGGCCAAAGTGGTGCGCGGCCAGCAAGAGGCCAGGCAATAGTACAAAGACAAGCAGCGAGCAAGTCATCAAAAGGAACAAACACCTGTCGGAGTGCCGTCGTCGCTCGCCAGGAGCGACGAGGCAGGCAGGTATCGAGCGAGGAAGACATGCGTCTAGTCCTTGCCATAAACCTCCTCCTTCGCCTCGTCGCCTTGCGGACGGTCGGTGTCGTAGCCACGCGTCACCCACGAAGCCTGGCTGCCGACCCTCTCGAGCGGGATGACGGGCTCGTCGATAGTGGTTGGGGGACCGCCGGCCGCCAGCTCCTGGCTCTTATACCACCACGTGACGCCCATGCAGGCGGCGGCGCAGGCCAGACAGCTGCCGCTCCACATCTGCACGGTTATGTAGTCCTTGAACTCGCTGACGAGGTGGCCGGCGACGATGGGGCCGACGAGCGACGGGATGGCCGCCGCAGTGTACATCATGCCGGTCCACTGGCCGAGCTTGGCTTGCCGCGCCTTCGACTTGCCGAGGATGTATGCCATGCTGGCGGGCGGGAGGCCGATCAGCGCGCCGCTGAAGATGCCGAAGAAGGTGATGAAGCACATGGCGCCGGCAAACGTGGTGGTCAGGGACCAGAGGATGAGAACGAGGAGGGAGCACACAGAAGCTACCACGGTGTGGACCTGAACGCCACCAATGCTAGTCTGCTGTTAGTCGTTTTCAAACCAAAGGGGAACGGGGAAACGTACTGGTCACTGGCCCATGCCGCACCAATGCGGCCAAACGTGCTCATTGCGTTCATAATAGCCAAA